AAAATTCAGCCTGCACTTAAGAAAGGACTAGAAACGTCACACTAGTTACTAGTGTCCAATCAGAAAACATCCCAACCTATGTCAGTGCAAATAGGATTAGTGAAATGTTTAAGTGACAGAACACAAAAACTAAGTAATACCAAGGAAAATCTAAAACAGGAAGTGATACATATAAGAGAAGCCTTGAAACTTAATAATTACTCTGATAAATTAGTCAGAAAGTATGTAGGGGAATGTAGAAATAAAATAAATAATGATATTAGTGATAGTAATAATAATAATGATAGTATTAATAATAATACTAATAATTACGACATGCATGTCAGACATGCACAGAATAATAATAACACCAACATTAAGGAATCTGAATCGTCAGTAGTGATTCCATACAAGGAAGGAACCTCGGAAACCTTCTGGAGAATTCTCAACAATGGAGGTAGGAATGGAAGTGGATGGTATTCAAACTACCCACAAAATCAATTGGAAACAAGTTTTTTCAGTTAAATGGTGGATCCTGTGGAGCCTTTAAAACAAAACATTTTAGTTTATCCAATATCCTACAATGATTGTCTGGTCAAATAAATAGGTCAAACTAGTAGAACAGGGGCAGTCAGTCAGACTAACCGAGCATAAAAACCTAGCAGCAAAATCTGGATTAGTTGACCGTAATAATAAGATAAGAAATCTAGACAATAGTTAAGCTATACCACTCATTACATGCAATTACACACAAGCGACCATACAATAGGATGGGATGTGATAAGATGACAGTTCCAAAATTTAATGTGACAGGGTGGAGGGAAAGATTGATAACATAAGCTTTGTTTATCGAATCAACTGCAAATGCGTGTAATATGAATGACTCAACACCTGTCCACCCTGACGTCTGCAAAATTCTACTACACCTATGACGACGACAAATAAGGGAGAACAAATAAAACTATAAAACTCAAGTTTTAAAGTCGTGTGATTATAATTGATGGAATGATTGTGAACAATAAATTTTGTTCTCAACGTCATCCAGTAAACAGTGATACTGTTTCACTGACTGTGTGATACATCTAATAAACAAACTAATATGGAATACCATGTATATATTAAATGTGTGACTGCAAGAACATTTGTAAGTCAGCAATATTATATGTATAATCGTTATGCTACAGTTTAAGCGAAATAAACAAACGGAAGTTGGTATATACATTTAATCACAAGTGATAACTTGATCCACACACACATGATTCACAATAGTGATTCTGTATTCGTTACTATCAGGTTTTACTACTGACCAATCAGATTCCCGCTAATTAGACGATTAAAATGTTATTGGGATTCCAGATGTACATTTAGTCCTTTTTTCCAACTCACCATATAGATGTACCTACTTGTAGCGGTCAACTAACAAGTTTCTACAGTTGGATACCTGTTGAACAAAACAGAAATCTAATCAAATCCCTTGCTAATCGGATCCGACGCATCTGCAGTCCTGACAGCCTGGAAGCAGAACTCGACCCTGTGAAACAAAACCTTCATCGAAAATGGATGCCCATCAAGATGTACCGACAAGAATATCAGGTCAAAAGTTCAAGGGAACGAAACATTACCTGTTCAAAAAGAGAAACTTCACATGATCCTCGATTTCAAAGGAGGCTTAGTCTGTGAGAAGAACATTCTTCTCAGTAACACTAAGAGTATTGTTCTCCAGTCGTGCATTGGTCTGCAGAAGCCTTAAGGACAATATCTCGTATCTGACAACTTGTATGAGCATATATATCAGTTCACCTGTTGCTGTGGAGCCAAACAGGCACATTGGTCGTTCGACACGTATCCCGTCTTAAAGAGTTTAAGAACACTATCCCAAATGGCTACAAATAGGTAGTAGTGGCTCTATAAGGAGTGTGATCATCGAATACCTTGTCAGCACTAATCATTCCATCTTATCAAATGCCTTCTGCTTCAAAGTAATCTACAGAGTCAAGAATAATCTATCAAAGACAATACTCTTTCGTCTCCTTCGTATTGCTGAAGCCTTAGCCATTCAGTTGAAAAAAGCAAAGTTATATATATACAAAAGAAAAGCATTCAACCACTTCTACTATCATAGCAGCAAGCGTGTTAATTTCTACTGACTTGATGTTTGTGGGCCTGATTTTCTAACTCCTTATAATATTTGTCACTTTTAGAACTCTCACGTAATTCCATATTCTCCTTCGTCTCTATATACATCCTAATCAAAACTCTTTCATTAGAGTATTCATCTTATTACGTAACTACAATACACTTATTCGACTTCGCTTATGCACTGACTAACACTGACAACTATTTTTCGACAACTCATCACTACTACTTTAATTAAATTTTAGATTTTCCCGTCGATTGATTGATTGGACCGAAGTTCTCTGTCGCAAGTTGAAATGTCGGCTTCCCCTTGTGCAGATGCTTCGACGATATCTGGGCATGTAATTAGAAGTTAGTTGGTGGTACGCCCAGATGACGAGTCCCATATAGAACAAAATGCTCATTCCGGATTCCACTACTAGTCACCATCCGCCAATTAACTTCTAATTATATGCCCAGACACTGTCGAAGCATCTGTACAAGAAGTCAACATGCCAACCTGAGACCGAACACTTCGCTCCAATCAATCAATCAATTGACGGGAAAATGTGAAAGTGAATTAAATTAATATGACCCGTTGCACAAGAGGTGGCTATCGTGGCCCAAGTGTTCTAGTGGATAACGCTTTGGCGTTTGAAACTAAAGGGCGCTGAATTCGAGCCTCGGTGGGAACATCATCACTCACTGGGGAATGCAGGTACATCCAGTGACGAGTCCCAAATAGGACGAAATGCGCATTGTCATGGATTCCACTGCTAGTCACCATCTACCAATCAGACATGTAATCAAGTCTAATTATCGTTACTAGAAGACTGTAAGTTCAATTGCAGTATCCACTTGTATGCACAGGCTGGCTTGAAATGTTTCGAATGCAGTCGACCTCTAGAGGAATAGTAAAATTATATTGTTTTATTTGTTGACAATCGCGAAGGAGATTTATATGCTCATGACGTGTCACATTAGAATTTTAAATGGTAATACTTAGGAAGGATTGAGAACGTATCAGTCTCGGGATCTTTAGTAGGTGTAATGATGAACTGGATGCACACCTTTGGCTACTCCAAATGTATTCGCTCTGAATTTCTATTATGAAATAATTTCTCTGATATTTGAGTCAACTGTTTATAAAATTTTACGATTCACTCATCTAGCAGTTAACCTGTTCGAAGCACAAACAATTGTTCTTACTTTATTCACATTTATAAAGCGGATGGAGATGGGAGAATTATCCAGAAATAAGGAATACTGGACATCTGTTTCCCTCAAGGTAGGGTTTCTTCATCAGTGCATTCACTCGAGAACCCTACTAGCGAACAAACTTCGAGAACTTCAAGTTATGCAGCCAACTCATCATTGACCTTTCAACCTTTCAATCACCCGTGAATTCTGACTTCCACGAATTCGTGATGTAGGCCCTACCGTCACAGAAGAGTGAGTATATAGTGGTGAATCTCACTGGAGATGTTTTCACACCACAAAATTCGAGACATCCATTCAACATTCATTCAAGCAGTCTTATTGCCTTTACTTTTAAAAACTCGAAAATAAGTTTTTTTTATATATAAATTATCGATAAGTATTTATTGATCTTCTATAATTCTATCTAAAGTATTATTATTCTATATTATAAATTGTATCTTAAAGAAAAGATCACATTATTGACGAGAAAGAAACAACGCATAAATAGGCGATCAAAATCAAATGAAGTCAATAAATGGAAGCAACCAACATGTGAGTTCAATGCATATGACGATTTGAAAAGAAAAGAACAGAACAGCAAAACAACGGATCACAAATATGCACAGTTATGCGTCTCAGTTTATTGCATCATCATAATTGTTGATTGCACTTTCGAATTCTTCACAAGACAGAGAAAAAGAAAGTTAAACAATTAAGTCTATTATTATTATTATTAGGATTAATATTATGCAGTTATTCTGCTAACTAAAGTTAGAGCATGGCGAAAATAGTTTTAATCAGACATTTAGAAGAGAATAAAGAAAATTTGAGCAAATAAAATAGTCATTGTAATGAAGGTTTTTGGCATTTCCCAATGGATGAAAAAGAGCAAAACGATATTGTTGTTGTGTTTTACTGACGTTTCGCTATTTAATGCTGCTGCTAATAGCTCTATCAAAGTAGTATAATTAAAACCAGAATTTACAAAATCCACTCAGCATATAATTATACATAACAAAGAGTTAAGGGGTGAGAAAATACACCACTTAGGTCAAGTTAAAGGGGGACATATGGAAAGTCAAAATAACAATGAAGATCACTAAACCAAATAACAAAGGTAATAGTACATCTATCATGATATCAAAACAAAGTTTACTAACTTGGTCATCGTTCGTCTGTCTGGGGTCATTTTTGGTTGTCAAGTTGGTCAATTGGTAAAGATAACAAAACCATCATGTATAGGTCGATGGATTTCATCAGTGTGTAAAATTATAAAAGTAGTGTGTGTGTTTGCATAGTGAACTTCCTTATCACATTCGTGTTGATTTTGTCACTTCATGGGGTAGAGGAGAGGGAGGCGTTGTAACTAGGTCAGATTCTGTTTTACTCCATCATTCCTATTCAGTTCAGACAATTTGGATTCCATATGATGATATGAAGTGGTTCTGATGACGTGAGACGTTGTTTGTGATTTCTGAAGTTTTTGTGGCCTGATTCCTTAGCTTGTAGACCTATAGCTGAGGATTTTTCACGCTTTTCTAGTTCAACTGGATTTCTCGGTGGTCGAAGAGATGCTCTACGGTGTTCATTTTTTCTGATTTTGATTTCTCGAGATGTTTGTCTGATGTAGATCGCATCACATTCCGAGCATTCTATTTTATAGAAACAATTAGAAAGAGAATCTTTTGGGATTTGGTCTGTTATATGGACAAGGTTGTTTCGCAGTGTGTTTGATGTTTTGAAGAAAACTCCAATGTCGAGCTGACTGAGCACTTTTCTGATATCGTCTGATGTCTCTGACCTATATGGAATGACGACTGTTGATGGCCATGTTTTCGGAATGCATTTTCGGCCATACTTAATGTCAGTGTTGATTTTGTTGATGAAGATCCTTGGGTAGTTAGCTGTTTTGCTTGAGAGTCTGAGTAGTGTTTAATATTTCTTCTTCTTTTTCTTTCTCATCCGTCATCATCAAAGAGTGTGCTCGTCTAAGAAGACTTGAAACAACTGAAATCTTTGCGCTGATGCGGGGTGTGATGATTTGAAGTCTAAATATTTATTAAAGTGGGTTTTCTTTCTGAATATGGATATACTAAAATGTCCGTTTTCCTTTCTCTTAACTAGGCAGTCTAGAAATGGTAGTTCACCGATGTCTGATTCTGCTTCCGAAGTGAACTGGATTTTGGGAGATACACAGTTTATTTTCTCCAGGAATAAATTGTGTAGATCTCGTTTTAGCACTACAAAAGTATCATCCACATATCCTAACCATATTTTAGGAGTGAGTATGCTTGAAAAGATATTATATTCGAATTTATTCATGTAAAGGTCGGCGACTATTGGGGAGACTGGTGAACCCATAGCAACACTATTTGTCTGTCTATATAAACTCCCTTAAAATGCTAAGTAATTACTTTCTAGACAGAATTTTAAGCTCCTAATTATTTCACTAGTGTCCAGTGGACATCTTTGTGATAGTGTTGTATCTGATTCTAGTAGACTGGAAATGAATCAGGCCACAAAATTGATTTTGACAATATTGAAATCATCATCCAGAGAAACTTCAGAATTCACAAAGAACGTCTCACGTCATCAGAAACACTTCATATCAAGTGGAATCCAAATTGTCTGAACTGAATATATATATATATATATATATATATACGGACAATATTGTAGAATAATCGTCATTAACAATATTTGGTGTTTGGTTTAAATAATATATCGATGATATTAACTGACTAATTGTGCCCATTTAAGTTTACAAAAGAATGGATACTGAACAAAGAGTACTCTTTTCGATAACCCCTCTTTCACCAGCCTCTGCAGTTATACATACATTATAGTGAATGAATGAATTAGTGTTATGAACGATATTAATGTTGTTTAAATAAAATCGAATCAATAATATCAATGGATTACAGTTCAGTAGCATCAACATAACAATAAACTGAATGTCAGAAAAATCGGGTACCAAATAAATTTCCAAAATCATCGAAGCATCGCATGCTCCAAACAGCAGATGCTATTGCAGTTCACCACAAACAACCAGTGCTCTGTGTTCAAAAGAAACAAGTCCAGCTAGCCACTGGTTCTGTCCTGGCCGGCCTTGAGTAGAGACTATTCAATCAATACTTTGTAATATTATACTTTGATAATACTATTATCAGCATTAAATAGCGAGACGTCAATAAAACACAACAATATCATTTTGTTTTTCATTTATTGGGAAATACAAAAACCTTAATTATAATGAATATCATATACCCAATAGCCGAATTTTTTTAATTTGCAATATTATTTTTCCTGTCTTAAGTATAAACCAACGCTTACAGATGCATAAAAATGTAACAGTAAACAGAGTATAAAATAAGATTAAGCTTAAGGAAATCTCTACAACAAATTAAGGATCATTAAAAGCTTTAAAGCCAGAGGAGGGTGGTGGTGGTGGGGCGGGGGGGGGGGGGGGTTAACGAAATCATCTAAACCAACTTCTTCCTTTGAATACATAGATTAGGCTTCTTAATTAGTGTGGATTCCAACAGCCAGCCTCAACTATATGTAATGGATGAACTTTTGAGGTAAAATTAAGTGAAGTTGGTATAAGGCAGATGACTTTGAAAGCAGTCTCGTTAACATCATCGATCTTGTGTTCTGTTTCCACAAGATGAGAGAGAATAGAGCTAGTTATGAATGGACTCTGTTTGTTCCTTACTTAACCACTATTCATGATGATGTTTGGAAATCTGACGATAAACACGCCTAATTGTACAGCCTATGCATCTAACTAGCTCACTGAACAGAAGCAGTGAAATTCTGATAGATGCACATAGAAAGAAGAGGCGAAATTAGGTAGTTCATATTTAACTGCTGAGCTCAAAACAGGGTTGGTTTTGAAGACACAGAATAATTCAGCACTACTGAATGCTCTTTTTACCGTATTACTTAGGAGTTGTGTTAATATCTCGCTGATGTTATCCCCAAAGAACTGAAGTTGGAAGAACAAGGCCAATTTTGGAACTGTTGGTACTCTGGTCTACCATGACTTTTGATTCACAATTCTTATCGATGAATTTTCCATGGATTTGATTGATTACGAGGTAGGTTTCGCGACGAATCGAAATCAGTTACAGAACTAGTAATACAGCCAAAAGAACGAGACAGGGAATCGTCAGCACTGCTAGCCAATGACACACCAGCAATCACACCTAGGACATTTAGATTATGAGACAACTCTATTGACCATTTAAAGCCACTGGAATCAATTCGCGGTGACGTTGGCGCTTATCACTTATGGTTACTTAAAGGAGGCCACGCTTACCCGCGAACCTTTGGCTTGAAGTCTGACCCATGAGATAGGGGACCAACGTCAGTAGACACGTTCCCAAGGTTTCCAATGACCAAAAGGCGAAGTTTAAGAATAGCGTCCCAAAACCTTCAACGCATGCTAGTCGTTGGCTAACTGTTCCTGTCATTATCATAGCTGAAATATCAACCCTATTCATCAAATAAGGAGCAAGTTTGGTGACTCTAAAGAATAGCGGCCAAAACCGAAACGACCTTCGAACATAAAAGTGACCTTGAGCAAGGAATCGGCTGACTGTATCATTTTCGGAAGTAATCATGGATGTTTTCGATTACTGTTTGGATAACGGACTCATAGCTTTGTCGAAAATTTGCCAGTGCGGAGGAGTTATGCATATACAAATATAAGCAGAGGCCATCGATGGCTTTGTATAAAGATGTATTGAGTGCCGAAGGAGGAAATCTTTTCGAGATGGTTTGTCGTTGTTTTTTAGTTTACAGATCCCTTAGGAACTTTTTTCTCTAGGTCTAAACTACCGTTAACGAAAATCTTAATGATATGTAACTTCTGGGTCCTCAAAAGACCAGTTACAGCTACGGCTTACGAAACTGAAAATTCAGAGGTGTCGGCAGTGCAGTGGTACAATTACTGCAGAGATGTTTCCTCGTGGAAAATGAACAGTCTGACTCAAGTTCTTGGAGGAGTCGGTGTAATCGTACATATTGATGAAACTGTATTGATAAAAAGGAAATATAACCGGGGGAGATTACAATCCAACCAGCAGTGGATATTGGGTATATACGACACAACACTACGAAAAGGGTATATAGAGGCGATTCCAAATCGCAGTGCAGGTGTATTATTGCCTATTATTCAGCGTTTGGTGCTGCCTGGGACGACTATTCACACAGATGAATGGAGTGCCTACCGTCAATTATCCAATCATGGGTATATTCATCATGTCGTCAATCACACGGAGGGTTTCAGGAATCCTGTGGATGGAACGCACACTAATTCCATCGAAAGTTTATGGAGTCGTCTGAAAAGACGGATAAGAGCTGTTAATGGATCAAGAAATCCAATGATTTACAGTTATCTAGATGAATTTATGTATAGAAACTGGTTTAATATGACAATGAAGACTCTTATGAGAAACTGGGAGGTTTTTTTGCAACATATACGCGAACGTTATCCTTTGTAACTATTTATTATGACTGCATTACTTATATATAAACCGTTTTTTACAATTATGCGCCTTTCATTTTGAGCCTTCTCATTGGTCGAAGTTGTCCCTGTCAAGGTCATTTTTGCGTTGAAAGGTCGTTTCGGTTTGGGCCGCTATTCTTTAGAGTCACCGCAAGTTTCACCCAGATAACACTTTTATTACTGTTTGGACAATGTGTTAACATCTCGTTAGGGTTAGGATAGGGGTTAAGGCGAGTATTGTGGTTAGGGTTAGGGTTACGGTCATTGTGTGCGTCGGTGGCACAATGGTTAGGGTCTAGGGTTAGGGTTAAGGTTAAGGTAGCGAATAGGAATAGATTTTTCGTTTATTTCAAGTTCTTTTATTATCCTTATTTCCCTTGTATGTAGTCGCCAATGCTCTTACTGGAACCATAGTAACTAAACCGAAGGCAACTGATACTCTTCATCGCAACTGGAACGTATTTTTAAGTCATATCAGAGAAATATAATCCGTTTAATGTGTTTTCATGCATTTTCTTGTGAATATACGTCATTTTTCGTGCAAAAATTCCTCATTTTTGTGATTGGCTGCCTGAAGGTCACTCGTGCGTTCGCATCCCTTGGGACGCTATTGTTGAACTTTGCCGACCAAAACAGACTTATTCTACGCCCTATTTCTATTCTATATTCTATATAGAATTTCTATATTCTATATAGAATTTCTATATTCTATTTCGGTGACTCTAAAGAATAGTGGCCCAAACCGAAACGACCTTCGAACAAAAAAGTGACCTTGAGCAAGGAATCCGCTGACTATCATTTTCGGAAGCAATCATGGATGTCTTCGATTACTGTTTGGATAACGGACTGATAGCTTTGTCGAAAATTTGCCAATGCGGAGGAGTTATGCATATACAAAAATACACAGAGGCCATTGATGGCTTTGTATAAAGATGTATTGAGTGCCGAAGGAGGAAATCGGTTCGAGAAGGTTTGTCGTTGTTTTTTAGTTTACAGATGCCTTAGGAACTTTTCTCTCAAGGTCTAAACTACCTTTGAAGAAAATTTTAATGATCTGTAACTTCTGGGTCCTGAAAAAAGCATTCACAGCTACAGCTTATGAAACATTAAATTCAGAGGTGTCAGCAGTGCGATGGTGCAACTACTGCAGAGAAGTTTCCTCCTGGAAAATGAACACCCTGACTCAAGTTCTCGGGGGAGTCGGCAGCATAGTCCATATTGATGAGACTGTACTTATAAAAAGGAAATACAACCGCGGGAGATTGCAAGCAAACCAGCAGTGGATACTGGGTAACTACGACACGATACTGAGCAAAGGGTACATAGAAGCGATTCCCAATCGCAGTGCAGCAGTATTAGTACCTATTAATAAGCGTTTGGTGTTGCCGGGGACGACTATTCAAACAGATGAATGGAGCGGATACCGTCAATTATCGAATCATGGGTACATTCATCATGTTGCGAATCATACGGACGGTTTCCGGAATCCTTTGGATGGAACCCACACCAGTTCCATTGGAAGCTTTTGGAGTCGTCTAAAAAGACGTATAAGAGCGGTTAATGGATCGAGAAATCCCATGGTTTACAGTTACCTGGATGAATTTATGTACCGAAACTGGCTTCGTATGACTATGAAGACTCCCATGAGAAACTGGGAGGTATTTTGCAACATATACGCGAACGCCATTCTTTGTAACTGTTTATTATGATTGCATTCCTTTTATATAAACCGTTTTTTACAATTATGCGCCTTTCATTTTGAGCCTTCTCATTGGGCGAAATTGTCCCTGTCAAGGTCATTTTTGCGTTAATAGGTCGTTTCGGTTTGGGCCGCTATTCTTTGAAAGAGGCTACAGTCAGTTTCTAGGTCATGATGAGTTCCTGCGCCGGGTAGTTATATGTTTTCGTGAATTCGTTTTCCATTGAATTTTAAAGGTTTTTCTGGATGTTTTGCTTATTTTGCAGTGTCTAGGTCAGTTTTTATCACTGGGTGCTACTATTTAGCTTATTTTTAGCCTGAAGTTCACAGTTATTATGTTGTTAGTCAAAGATTATTGTAAACCTGCAATTGTGAATGGAGTTGAAGATTGAACGATCAATTCTTGGTTGTTTGCTCAAAATCAACTTC